AAGCCAAAATCCTTCCAAAACCTAAGTAAAATCAATGTTTTGTGCTTTCTCGCCTTTTCGCTCTTGGAGCTGTCTTGGGCCATCTTGGGCGTCCCAACGCGTCGCGGAACGCCCCATCCAGGTCAGTGGGGAGGGGTAAGGGGAGGGGTAAACCCCTCCCCGAAGGGGTAGAAGGGGGGTTGGCAGAGGAAACTCTCTAAACCACCTACGCCCTAAAGGGCTGGTGGGATTCCGGCAGTGCGGTCAGGTCAGAATCTGCGGCGGATTCCAGCAGGCGGGTCGACGCTGGTCGACCGACGGCCGTCTCCGCTCGCGCCCATCCTCCTGCCCTTCTGAGCCCTGCTGAACCGTGCTCTTTGTCAGCCTTCGCCAAGCCAAGCGCGCTCTCGCCCTGCTGAGCCATCATCTCTGTCGGCCCTTCTGGCAGCGCCCCCCCCCTTGCGGAGATCCGCAGCCACGCCACCAACGGCCCGCAAAGGACTCCACAGCACAGCAGCCTCGCCAGCAAAGCGAGACATGGCAGAGCTTCCATGGTCCTAGGATGCTGCACGCTCAGAGAACGATTCGCGCTCCTTGAGCCAAAATGTCTGCCAACCCCAACAGCCCAATAATCCCACCAGCCCTTTAGGGCGTAGGTGGTCTAGAGAGCTTCCTCTGCCAACCCCCCTTCTTTCCCTTCGGGGAGGGGTTTACCCCTCCCCTTACCCCTCCCCGCTGACCTGGACGGGGCGTTCCGCGACGCGTTGGGACGCCCAAGATGGCTCAAGACAGCTCCAAGAGCGAAAAGGCGAGAAAGCACAAAACATTGATTTTACCTAGGTTTTGGAAGGATTTTGGCCTCTTGGGGGAGCCCAAGAGGCGATCCGAGGCACTCTAGAGGGGCGAGGCTAATTAAGGCTCCCCCCTTCTTTGATAGATCTCCTCCAAGATGGCCCCAAGAGCGCCCCAAAGGCTCCCAAGAAGAGCGCCCCAAGAGCGCCCCAAGAGGGCCCCAAGAGGCCCCAAGAGGCCCCCAAGAGGCCTCCAAGAGGCTGCCAAGAGACCCCCAAGAGGCCCCAAGAGAGTCCAAGATGGCCCAAGACGGCTCCAAGAGCGAAAAGGCGAGAAAGCAAAAAACATTGATTTTACTAGGTTTTGGAAGGATTTTGGCCTCTTGGGGGGCCCAAGAGGCGACTCGAGGCACTCTAGAGGGGCAACGCTAATTGGGGACCCCCTCTTCTTTGATCGATCTCCTCCAAGATGGCCCCAAGAGCGCCCCGAAGGCTCCCAAGAGCGCCCCAAGAGCGCCCCAAGAGCGCCCCAAGAGGCCCCAAGAGGCGCCCAAGAAGCCTCCAAAAGGCTCCCAAGAGACCCCCAAGAGGCCCAAGAGGCTCCCAAGACGGCCCAAGACGGCTCCAAGAGCGAAAAGGCGAGAAAGCACAAAACATTGATTTTACCTAGGTTTTGGAAGGATTTTGGCATCTTGGGGGAGCCCAAGAGGCGACTCGAGGCACTCTAGAGGGGCAAGGCTAATAAGCAACCCCCCCTTTTTTGATAGATCTCATCCAAGATGGCCCCAAGAGCGCCTCGAAGGCTCCCAAGAGCGCCCCAAGAGCGCCCCAAGAGGGCCCCAAGAGGCCCCAAGAGGCCCCCAAGAGGCCTCCAAGAGGCCCCCAAGAGACCCCCAAGAGGCCACAAGAGGCTCCCCGAGATACGCAAGAGGCCCCCGGGACCGCCAAGAGGCCCCAAAGACGGCCCAAGAGGCCCCCAAGCTCGCCATTGTCCTCCTCCTCCTCTTTTTCTTCCTCCTCCCTCCTCCCCCTCCCCCTCCTCCTCCTCCTCCTCCTCCTCCTTTTCCTTTTCCTCCTTCTCGTCCTCCTCGTCCTCGCAGTCCTCCATCTCCTCCTCCTTATCTTCCTCCTCCTCCTCCTCCTCCTGCTCCTCCTCCTGCTCCTCCTCCTGCTCCTCCTCTACCTCCTCCTACTCCGACGACGACGGCTCCTCCTACATCCTCTCCCTCTTGGGGTATATGGCGGCTCACCCCGCCCTCTGTTCTTCTGCATGCTCCCCCGCTTCCCTCATAACCTCCACTCCCCTGGGACTCATTTCTGGACGGGCTGGTGGGGATACGCGAAGCGTCTAGAATTTCCCAGTCGGATCTGCACAGAGGCTGAGGACAGCCCAAGACAGCTCCAGGACGCCCCAAGACGGGTCAGAGTCGCCCCAACAACCGCCTTGATCAGCCAAAAAGAATACCAGCAGAGCCAGAGAGCGTCAAGATGTGCATGCAACACAAGAGATGACTCCCTACCAGACCACCCCAACCCAACCCGAAGACCCGAATTTCGGGTTGGGGGGGCATGGGCTCAGTATGTGTTTTTTGTCGATGTTCCCCGACCCCCTCCCACTGGAAATGGAGGGCAGATTGAGGCCTTCTGGTTGGGTTGGGGTGATTTGGTGGGTGGTTAAGAGAGCCTCCAGAGAGGCCCAACCTAAGAAAACTCTACAACCTGCCAGACGAGCCGCGAGACAGCCCAAGCCAAAGAAGCCCAAGATGCGCCAAACGGGCCCAAGAGAGCCCCAAGCGAACTTCAATAGAGCCCCAAGATGTCTCAAGAGAGCCTTCAGAGATGCCCAGGACGGCCGAAGAGAGCACTCTCCAGGCATGGAGGGGTCTGGAGAGGGGAGGGGAGGGCCTGGCACGCGCTAAATTGGCCGCAGCTCCGGCGTGGATGGTGGGGGGAGGCAAAGAATCATCCAAGAAATTCCAGGATGGCCCAAGAAATTCCAAGAGGCGCCTCCGAGGCTCCAATAAAGGCCCCGATCGCCAAGCGAAGCGTAGAGAAGAAAAGCCAGAAGAGCACCGAGACGACCCAGGACTGCTCCAACAACAGCCCAGACTGGCCTAACGAGAGCCTCCCGATGGCCCGTGAGGGCATCCAGCGACACCCAGGACGACCCAAGAGAGATCCAAAGCGGCTCATGATGAATGGGCGCCTTTGCCAACACGCACCAGGGCGCCAGGGACATGCATACCAAGCACATAAGAGGCGCACCCTTCGCGCCTGGAGCACGAGCATGGGCACAAGCACGGTAGCTCGGTGCCCGGTGCTGGCCGACTGCGCCAGGGGCATCCTCCCGACTCTGGGCTCCGAAATGCCGTTTCGCCTGACACATCCTCGCAACTCTGGGCTCCCAGTTGTCGCGCTGGAGGTGTTTCCTCGTCGCCATCGTCGTCGTCGTCGTCGTCGGCGTCGTTGTCGGCGTCGTCGTCGTCGCCGTCGTCGTTGACATCGTAGCCGTCGTCGTCGTCTCCGTCGTCGTCGATTTCGTCGTCGTCATCACCACCGCTGTGCTGTCCTCGTCGTCGCCGCCGCCGCCGAAACAGACGTCGTCGCGGCCGCCGGTGCCGCCGCTGCCGAAGCCACTGCAGTCCTCGTCGTCGCCGTCACCACCGACGCCGCTCTCGCCGCCGTCGTCGCCATTGTCTTCGGCATGGTCGTCGACGTTGTCGTCGTTGCCGGCGCCGCCAACGCCGCCGGCGCTATCGTCGTCGTCGTCGTCGTCGTCGTCGTCGTTGTCGTCGTTGTCATCATCGCCGCGCGCGCCGCTGTCACCTTGGTGGTCGTGGTAGCCGTCGCCGCCACCGCTTCCGATGATGGCGTCGTCGTCGTTGCGTGGTCCTTCTCCTCGTCTTCTGCCTCGTCCCCGCCATCCTCGTTACCTTCTCATTATTGTCACTGCCTTTCCCTCCCGTCGCTGGGCCCCACATAAGGTCCGCAAAAAAGTTTACATTGGAAATCGACGTCGCCCCCGTCGCCGCCGCAGCGGTGGTGATCGTCGCCGCAGCGCGTGCGCTGGCTGCCCCCCGGCGGGAACATGACAAACCACTCAGCAGAACTGCGCGTCGCAACAGTTCGTCAGGTCACAGGGGGGATGCGCAGATTCCTTCGACGCCTGTCAACACAACAAAAAGAAGCAAGACGAAAACAACGAAGAGCTCTGAGTTGCAAGGATGTCTCGGGCGAATCGAAGATCACCACAGGTCAGGGCATACATGGGCCCAGAGTTGCGACGATGTCTAAGGCGAAAAATGCCCCAAGGCAAGAGTTGCGAGGATGGGATGTCTCAGGCGAAACTGACAGAACCACCAGTTGCGTGGCATCTCGGGGCTCACAAATGCCGCGCGAAAGATTGTCCGACCTCTTTCGCATGAACGTCCTCGCAATTCTGAGCTCCAAAATGCCGTGACCTGAGGTCCAGCCCGTTTCGCCTAAAACACCCTCGTAACTCTGGGATCCTATGCCGTGACCTGAAATGGTCCAACCCCTTTCGCCTGAGACATCCTCGCAACTCTGAACTCCTAGATGCCGCGCGAGCGTTGGTCCGGCCCTTTCGCCTGACGCGTCCTTGCAACTCGAAGCTCCCAGATGCCGTGACCTGATTTGGTCCGGCCCGTTTCGCCTGAGACATCCTTGCAACTCTGGATTCAGAGATGCCGCGACCTGAGGTGGCCCTGCCCATCTCGACTGAGACATCCTCGCAAAGCTCAGAGATGCCCTGTCCTGAGTTGGTCGTGCCAATTTTACCTGAGATATCACGGTAACTCCGGGCTCCGAGATGCCGCGCAACAGGCGGTCCGGCCGGTTTCGCATGAGACGTCTTCATAAATTTGGGCTCGGAGATAGTGCGCGAGAGGTGGTCCGACCAATTTCGCCTGAGACATCCTCCCAACTATGGACTCGAAGATGCTGCGCGCGAGGTGGTCTGGACAATTCCGCCTGAGACATCCTCCCGACTCTGGGCTCAGAGATGCCGCGCGCGAGGTGATCCAGCCCGTTTCGCAGTAGACATCTTCGCGCCTCTGGACTCAGAGATGCCCTGACCTGAGGTGGTCCGGCTCGTCTCGCCTGAGACATCCTTGAAACTCTTGGCTCGTTGCCTCACACATCCTCGCCAGACTACGCTCCGAGACGCCCTGACCTGAGGTGGTCCAGCCAATTTCGATCTACGTAGACGTCCTCGCCAGGGCTCAAAGATGCCACGCGAGAGGAGGTCCAGCCAGTTGCGCCTGAGACAAGCTCGCAACTGCAGGCTCGACGATGCTGCTCGCGAGGTGGTCCCTTGAGATATCCTCCAAACTCCTGGGGCATCCTCGCAACTCTGGGTTCGGAGGTGCTCGAACGTCGCGAACAGAATAACATGGGAGAGGAACAAGCGTAGTGCGTGCACAACACGTGGATACTGCGATGGAAACAATCGACACCACCGCGCCGCAACAAAAGCATACAAAAGATGTAGCCCAAACCATTGCACACAACGATGTTTTTGAGAATGCAGCTGGCGCTCGAGCCGGAAACCAGCGCCGCCAGCGTCGACTTACTACACCCCGTAGTAGCGCACAGTCATCGTCAAGGGCGTGCCGAATAATCAAGCCAGGTGACGCTCCCAGAGGGGAACGATC